AAATAAAATAAAATATTTATCTTTATTACTGGGTGTTTTGGCACCTCCTTACATTTTGCACCTGAAGTGAGTGCCTGGGCTCTCCTTACCCCAATCTCCGCCCTGCCCCAGTCTTGATGATCTGCAATAATGTTATGACCAGGTCAGTTCTTACCGCCTCACAGCTTCTGGGATGTCCCCCTTACACCCTTTTCTTCATCATTGCCACTTGTAACATAGCTGACCCTAAAAGTAGTTTTTGCTATACAAGTCACACAGAACTAGGAAGGTAAGTATGTTAGGAAAAAGGAAAATACTCTATCATCCATATTTCTACATCAAATTGAAATAATCCACTTCCAGGATTAGACCTATGTTGAGGTGAGTGGGACATTCACCTCAGGTGCTAAATGTATGAGAGGGTCGAAAAACTCAATAGTAAAGATAAATGAGATTTATTCTAGTATTTAAAAAATTTTAGATTAATACCAAAAGTAGCCACAGTGAACACATTATCCTTTTCAGTACAAAATCAGTAACAAACCGGGCTCGGTGGCTCAGCCTGTATTCCCACACCTTTGGGAGGCTGAGGTGAGTGGATTGCCTGAGCCCGCGGGTTTGAGACGCGCCTAGGCAACTTGGTGAGACCTCATCTCTACAATAAAAAATCAAAAAATTAGCCAGGCATGGTAGTGCGCGCCTGTAGTTCCAGCTACTTGGAAGGCTGAAGCAGAAGGATTGCTGGAGCCCAGCAGGTCGAGGCTGCGGTGGCCGGGAGCGGCCACTGCACTCCAGTCTGGGCGGCAGAGTGAGACTCCAACTCAAAAAAAAAAAAAAAAAAAGAATCAGTAACACTGCTGGGTCAAGCTATACTGGAGTCTCTGCAAAAAGAACAATAGTAATACTCATTCTGTCTTTGTTTAAAATGCTGATATTTTGTTCATCATGAGTTTCTTGGCATTAATTTTATTTTGTCAAATATTGCATTGAAATATGATTTATCTTAGTTATGGAGTTTTTTTGTCAGCCCCTTATATTTTGTACCCAATTTAAGTGCCTTGTTCACTCCTAGTCCTGGCTTTGATCCATCCTTTGGGATGATCAGAGTTACCCTTTACTCCAGAAAATAGCCTTGTGACTTATAAATTTGGAATGTGACCATGATGAGTCTGGGTTAAAAGTCTATGTTGGGCTCCCGCCCTACAAGCAACTTTTTTCCAGTCAAAAGTCACATGGTTAAGGTATGATAATTCACCATGAAAACTATGCTTCTAAATTCATTTCTATCATTATCCAGTCGACTGGTACAGGCTGAGGAAAGACAACAACTTGAGTTGCTTTATAAGAATGTCAGGATACCGTTACTAGGAGATGAAGAGGAGGGCTCTGAAAATGAGGATGAGTCCACATACCTGCTTCCTGAGAATGAGAAGGAACTGGAAAAGTTCATTCATTCAGGTAAAGGATCAACCAGTGTGTCTTGTCAGAGCCAAAGTCACAAAAAAGCTAAACCGGCAATGGTAGTTTAGTTTTCAAAAGCAGAGATAAGTGGGAGTTCATGGAGTTTGAAGTAAAAAAGACAAATATGGCCACATTCACAGAAATGAGTGATCCTCATCAAATTATACACAGGGGCAAACAGCTGTGTGCAGTTGCTTTTTGTTGTTGTTTTCGTTTGCTTGTTTTTGCTGGGGATTCCAAGGATCTAACACCGATTTCAGGAAACAAAATTTTTCCAGGATACAATATTTTCCTTAAATATACTTATTATTTTGTGACATTATTCCTGTGTTTAGAACACAGGCAAATGTACCACCTGCACCATTTGCCTTAATCTGATGTAAAAATGGGATCCAGGCCCACAAAATAGAGGTCGCTACCCCCAGGTGAAAGATCCTTGTAAGAGAGCTATCCATCATAGACACGTTCTGCACGTCCTTGGGAGGAGAGGGTGACACATCTGCTTATGTGGTCATATAAACCTGATTTTATAGAAGTTCTGAGATTCTTTGATACCATTTTAAAAATCCTAAAGCAAAAGCACAGAGAGTTCAGTGTCTGATTCAGTCATATTACCCAAACCTTGCATGTATTTTCTCTCTAAAAACTCCAGACATGGCCAGGCTCGGTGGCTCAGCCTGTAATCCCACGCTTTGGGAGGCCGAGGTGAGCAGATTGCTTGAGCCCGCTGGTTCAAGACCCGCCTGGGCAACATGGCAAGACCTCATCTCTACAATAAATAAAAAATTAGCTGGGCGTGGTAGCGCGCGCCTGTAGTTCCAGCTACTTGGAAGGCTGAGGCGGAAGAATCGCCAGAGCCCAGCAGGTCGAGGCTGCCAGTCTGAGCGACAGAGTAAGACTCCAACTTAAAAAAAAAAAACTCCAGACATGAACAAAAGAAAGAGACTGAAAGGCCAAGGGAAGAAGAGTTCATTGATGTTTACTGAAATAGATGGCCTTTGTCATAGCCTGTAGAAAATATTTTTTATTTTCCTTTTTCTTTTATTTTCTTTCTTTCCTTCTTCTTCTTCTTTTTTTTTTTGTAGAGATGGGGTCTTGCTTTTTTTGCTCTGACTGGTGTTTAACACCTGACCTCAAGCCATCCTCCTACCTTGGCCTCTCAAAGTGCTGGGATTACAGGCGTGAACCACCATGCCAGCCCAGAAAATATATTTTCTTTCTTTTTTTTTTTTTTTGAGTTGAGTCTCACTCTGTCGCCCAGACTGCAGTGCAGTGACCACTCCCGGCCACCGCAGCCTCGACCTGCTGGGCTCTGGCGATCCTTCCGCCTCAGCCTTCCGAGTAGCTGGAACTACAGGCACACCCTACCACACCCGGATGATTTTTTGATTTATTGTAGAGATGAGGTCTCGCCAAGTTGCCCAGGCGGGTCTTGAACCCACTGGCTCAGGCAATCCACTCACCTCAGCCTCCCAAAGCGCAGGATTACAGGCTGAGCCACCGAGCCCAGCTAGAAAATATATTTTCAATGTGTTTTTGTTACATTGGATGCTAACTTTCTATATTTTTTAAAACTTGGCACTCATAAAATTTTAATACAAAATGTGGGAAAACAGTTTTGTTGTTTTTTTTGAGTTGGAGTCCCACTCTGTCACCCAGACTGGAGTGCAGTGGCCGCTCCCGGCCACCGCAGCCTCGACCTGCTGGGCTCCGGCGATCCTTCTGCCTCAGCCTCCTGAGCAGCCGGAACTACAGGCATGCGCTACCACGCCCGGCTGATTTTTTAATTTATTTTAGAGATGAGGTCTCGCCAAGTTGCCCAGGCGGGTCTCAAACCCGCCGGCTCGGGCTCAGGCAATCCACTCACCTCAACCTCCCAAAGTGCTGGGATTACAGGCTGAGCTACCGAGCCCGGCTGCGAAAACAGTGTTTTTGTTTTGTTTTGTTTTTTGAGTTGGAGTCTCACTCTGTTGCCCAGACTGGAGTGCAGTGGACGCTCCCAGCCACCGCAGCCTCGACGTGCTGGGCTCCAGCGATCCTTCCGCCTCAGCCTTCCATTAGCTGGAACTACAGGCACGCACTACCTCACCCGGCTAATTTTTGATTTATTATAGAGATGAGGTCTCGCTGCCCAGGCGGGTCTCAAACCCGCGGACTCAGGCAATCCACTCACCTAAGCCTCCAAAAGGCACGAGATTACAGGCTGA